AATTTACTCGAGTCTCAAGACCCCCAATCACAACTACACAAGAACGATGAACACGATCTACCACAATAGAATCACCCACCGGTGTAGACACATAAACAGGAACACTCAAAGAATCACTGTGATAACTGCATCGGAAGCCTCAACCTTAGGTCTGGCTGGAAGAGCATCACATCGGGGCTAGGCCCCACCACTCTAAACTACATCTCTGGGACGGCCTGCTACTGGCTGGCCTCCACCTCTAGCGGCCGGACCTCCACCTCTAATACCTCTACCTCCACCTCTAGCACCTCTACCTCTACCTCTAGCTGGATGGGCGAGCTGACGAGTCACCCAATGAACCTTCTCACTCTCTCACTCTCAGTGGGAAGTATAAGAAGAACATGACGGGCCAAATCAGTAAACCTGGTCTCGTACTTAGTAAGAGTCATAGAACCCTGCTGGAGACGCTCAAACTGCCTCCGATAACTCTCCCTCTGAGTGATAGGAAAAAACTTCTCCAAAAAAAACTGAGAAAACTGATCCCAAGTCAAAGCTGGTGACCCGACTGGTCTAGCCAAACAATAATCTCTCTACCAAGCCTTGGCTGATCCAGACAAACAAAAAACAGCAAAGTCGACCTCATTGGTCTCCACTATCCCCATGTTCCTGAGAACCTCATGACAACTATCCGAATAAATCCTGGGGATCCTCAGAAGATGTACCACCAAGAGTAGTAGTGAAGAGCTTGGTGAAACCTACCCAACTAGTATTGAGAATTCAAGTCACGCGACAGGAAAGAATGGATGTGAAGTTTTTCCTAACTCTATAGCTTCTAGGGATAAATACAGACGTCTCTGTAACGATCCCTCAGACTCTACAAAGCTTGTCTGTGAATTGTGAGACCTATGTAACCTAGAGCTCTAATACCAACTTGTCACGACCAGGATTTCCCACCCTCGGGAGTCGTGATGGTGCTTACTCGTGAAAGCTAGGCAAGCCGATCAACTGAACTATTTACCTTTTTTTTATTTCTTTAACAGTTAATAACCAATATTTGATAAACAGCGAAATTTAATAAGCGGAAGACTGAATCACAACATATTAATAAAGGTGCCAATACCAATCCATACATAACTACACAAGACCGGTGTCACAACTTCACAGACGGTCTAGGAATACTATAAACAAGGTCCGAAAAATAAATACAACAATGTTTCTGAAATAAGTAAATGAAACAGGATGAAAGGATAGAGCGAGACGCCAGGGCCTGCGGATGCCTGCAGGACTGCCTCGGATCTCTGAATGGACTGAAGGCAGCTACCCAAAGCTAAGGTTCAGAAGTTGCTGCATCGGGATATGCACAAAGTGTAGATTGTAGTATCAGCACAACCGACCCCATGTGCTGGTAAGTGCCTAGCCTAACCTCGGCGAAGTAGTGACGAGGCTAGGACCAGACTACCAATTAAACATGTGCAGTTAAATCATATACAACGGAAAATAAAAGCATAAATGTACAGTTACGGATGGGAGGGAGAAAACATGATGCGGGGACATCGAATAATAGCAGAAGAACAACAAGTAAATATAAGGATCACCACAGTTTGATTGAAGATAGACAGGGGGAATCATGCTGCGGGGTACAACAAGTATCAACAGAAAACCAACAATTTAATGTAGAGAAACCATAACTCAGCTATCAAGAAAAATCAGGAAATCAAAGACAAGTGCACGGCATCACCCTTCGTGCTTTAACACTCTCTCATCAAAACAATGCACGGCATCACCCTTCATGCTTTAACACTCTCTCACAAATATCACACACGGCATCACCCTTCATGCTTTACACTGTTCCTCACCCAAGCAACAATCACAGAGCAATTTGGGCAAGGGAATCAATAACATCACAATAAAATCAAGTAACAACAGGAAATCAGTAAGTAAACATAAAGAACACCATAACTCAATTATCAGTATAATCAGGAAAATCAAGGACAAGTACACGGCATCACCCTTCGTGCTTTTACTCTCGTCCTCACCATGAAAATCTTTATAATTGGCATGGCATCACCCTTCGTGCTTTTACCTCACATAATCACTCATAAAAAGGCACGGAATTGTACATCGTGCGGCACGGCATCACCCTTCGTGCTTTAAACTCTTCCTCACAAAAACAATGCACGGCATCACCCTTAGTGCTTTAACACTCTTCCTCACCCAAACAACAATCACAAACAATAAGGGCAACAAAATAAATGAAATCACAATAATATCACAATAAAATCCCGGCAAGGGAACATTATAAAAAAAACAACAACATCCCGGCAAGGGAAAAATTAAAGCAACAACGTCCCGGCAAGGGAACAATACCATAATCCTCTTCTCTTTTTCACATACTTCACAACTCGATTAACAACTTGAGCCAATGCTCCATAAGGTTCAATTGCCATTTATTCTTTCATAATTCACTTCACAACTTGAGCCAACGCTCTTCACTGTTCAAATACCAATATTTTTCCACAAACCTTGCTCAACAATAGCAATCATCACATTACACATGAACAATACAAATGGATACACATTAATCATAACATAAGACTCACGGGCATGCTTGACACCAACATATAGATACTCGTCACCATACCTAGACGTCGTACTCAACAAATAACACATAGCAAGTAGGACACAACTCCTAATCCCTCAAGCTAAGGTTAGACCAAACACTTACCTCGATACTTCGAACACAATTCAAGCCTCAACTATCGCTATACCTCTTGATTCCACCACCAATTAGCTCGTATATAGACACAAGTTACTTAATTATATAAATAAATGCTAAATGAATCAATTCTAATGCATGGAAATAAGTTTTCTAAAGTTTTTCCCAAAAAGTCAAAAATCGACCCCGGGCCTACATGGTCAAAACCCGAGGTTCGAACCAAAACCCGATTACCCATTCACCCACGAACTCAAATATACAATTTGTTTTAAAATCGGACCTCAAATCAAGGTCCAAATCCCCAAAATTTGAAAAACCTAGGTTCTACCCAAAACACCCATTTTCCCAAATGAAAATCTTTGATTTTGAGTTGAGATCATGTGAAAAGATGTTGAAGATTGAAGAAAACGAGTTAGAAACAACTTACAATCGATTTGGAGAAGAAATTTTCTTTGAAAAATCGCCCAAGAGAGTTTATGTTTCGAGAAGGTATGAAAAATGGCTGAAAATGCGTCTAAGTGTTAATTAACTGGTCTTTGATGTCGCAATTGCGAACAATTGCGAACCCCTTCAGGACCTGCTATCTTCGCATTTTCAAAGAATATGTCGCAATTGCGACGCTGGGAAAAATTCATTATCTTCGCATTTGCGAGGAAACAGTCGCATTTGCGACTCTGGCCCCTTCGCATTTGCGATGTAATGATCGCATTTGCGATCAAGTCCATCCCACTCCATCTTCGCATTTGCGATGGGCTACTCATATTTGCGAGCTCGCATTTGCAATCCAGGTTTCGCAAATGCGAAGCCTGCAGGCCTGCAACATACCAGCAAATTCCTAAGTGTAAATTTCACTCTGTGGCCTATCCGAAACTCACCCGGGCCCTCGGGGCTCCAAACCAAACAAGTACACTAACCCAAAAACATCATACGGACTCGCTTGTGCATTGAAATCACCAAAACAACATCAAAAACTATGAATTTAGCATCAAAATCATGAAATCACTTGAGGACATCAAATTTTCCAATTTTCTCAAATAGGGTCCGGTTCACGTCATTTCAAGTCCGTTCCTTACCAAATTTCACAGACTCAACTTAAATCACATATAAGACCTGTACCGGGCTACGGAGCCAAAATACGGGCCCGATACCATCAAATTTCAAACACATTTCATTTCCAAAAACTCATATATTTTCCAGAAAATAATTCTCTTTAAAAATTCATTTCTCGGGCTTAGGACCTCAAAATTCGATGCCGGGCATACGCCCAAGTCCCATAATTTCCTACGGACCTCCCGGGATTGTCGGAACACGAATCCGGGTCCGTTTGCTCAAAATGTTGACTAAAGTCAACCATAATCAAATTTTAACTCAAGAAATTTCTATTTCTCATATTTTCACATAGAAGGCTTTCCGGATATAGGTCCGGACCACGCACGCAAATCGAGGTGAGATAAAAAGGAGGTTTTTAGGCCTCGGAACACTGAATTTGTTTCTTAAACAAGTGATGACCTTTTTGGTCATCACAACTGTTTAATTGTATTTTACTGATTTTTCTCTGCCTCTTTATTGCATATTGTTGTGTTTAACGTGATTTCTTATCGCTCAGTCTTCATTTATTGTTATTACTCACTGAGTTGGAGTACTCACTTTACTCCCTGCACCCTGTCTGCAGATTCAGGCGCTACAGGTCTTGCTAGCGAGGGTTGATAGCTTCCAGTAGATTTCCGGAGTCCACTAAATAGCTGCTTGGCGTTCGCAGCCCGGTGTTTCTCCCTCTTATCGTTATTTATGTTCCTAGTTCTGGATTTTGTAATAGACTGTGTAGTCCCTTATCTACATTTCGAGACTTATGTTAGATGCTCATGGCTGGTGACACCCCAATGTCGGGCCGTGTTTGGTTGTTTTCCGCAAATTATACTATTTCACTTACGTTTTGGGATTATTAGTATGTTAATGACTTATTTTGTGTTAATATAATTGTTTAAATGAATTGGAAGTTGTGTCGGCTGGCCTTTTCTTCACGAGAGGCGCCATCACGACCGAGCCTGGGTTTAGGGTCATGACAATTAAATAATTTAAATTTGTTTCCTGCATATTATGCTGGAGATATACCACTTGAAAGTGTAATATCGCGTATTTTGTACTGAATGTGTACAATCTAGATTTTTTTTTAATATAAGTGCAGCAAATCAAGAAACAACAAAAATAAACGGTAATAATATTTTGAAAAACAAGAATACTGAACAAGTTATTCGGGATTACATTCAGTTTTTCACATGACCCTACGCAACCTTATTGTATATAATCAATCATTCTTTTTCCTGTATTTTCTTGCATAAGGATGAACTACTGCAGAATTTGTGCAATTTGTTCTGTTATGCCCATATCTTTTGCACCTACCACATCTTGGTTCCTTCTTGAATTCTGTACAGGAAATATGTCGATTCTTCTGTCTTCTTCCTAGCATTACTTTTACATCTGGACGCTTAGTGATTTCTGATTTATTAGTATCTGGTATGACCCATTTTGTTGAATCACCTATAGAATTTACTTGTCATTCATATGTTTTCAACCAAAAGTCCCTTGTATAATAAGCCGAGCAAAAGGTCGATTTCTTTTGATATATAATTTCAATTGGAGCAATTGCGTGTTCGCAGTGTATATGATCTAGCTGAAATTCATAACAATCACATGTTCTTTTGTCTATATCAATAATAAATTCCATACCCCCTTCTTTTACATTGAATTTGAGTCGATCAATGGGTAATAGTCTAAATGTAAAAGCTGGTTTAATTTTTTCTTCCAATGTTGCTTCTGTCCAATTTGATAACTCACGGAATATTCCTTCTGCAGTTGTCCTTCTTTCATAGAACCAGCTTTGCAATTTTTCTTGTATGAAATTCATCATTGTTAAAAGCAGCAATTCTCTTGCACGTATCAAAATATTATTCATTGACTCAACAATATTTGTTGTTAGCATATCATATTGTCGTCTTGGACAATGTGAACAAGCCCATCTTCCTGGTGGTTCCTCCATCAAATAGTTGAATGTTTTCTTATCACCAGCAGCTATTTGGGACATAAAGTCATCAAATTCTGATTGAAGGTATACTCTTGCAGACAGGTTTATTACAGTGTTTCTCACTCTTATTTGCTTTAGATTCTTTTCTAAATGATATATGCAAATACCATGGTAGCACTCAGGGAAACCTTTTGCAATTCCATTTGCAATGGCCTTGTGTCGATCTAACAAAAATATTAAACCATTACGAATCACAATTGCTTTTCTTAATTCTCTGAAATACCATTCATTTGATTCATTATTCTCTTTATCCGCTACCCCAAATGCTATAGGAAAAATCTGGTTATTTGCATCCTTTGTAACAGCCACTAACAGAACACCTCTATATTTATTTTTTAGAAATGTTCCATCAACCTCTATAAGTGGTCTACAATACTTCCACCCAGAAATTGACGCGCCATACATAAAAAATATGTAAACAAACCTGTTACATTGAAAATTAAATAAAATTCAGTTATATGATATGACAAGCTGAATAGTAAAGTATATTAGCAGATTATAATAATCATCCAGTATAACATACTGGAAGACAAACATTCACATGACTGACTTCAGTGTAATATACTGGACAAAATTTATTACTAAATTGAATAAGCAAAAAAAACATAAGCAAAAACCACACTCAGAAGACAGATTTTCAGTATAAAATACTACACCATATTTATATATGAAGGCCACTAAATTATAATCAAACATAAGAAATTTACTTGTTTTCTGCATCTCTTTGAATATTAGTATATGATCCTGGATTTTTTTGTTCGATCATATACAAATATGATGGCAGTTGCTTGTAATTTTGTTCAGTTGTTCCTCTTAATAAAGATATCCCTTTTTGAATAGCATGCCATGCTTTGACATAACCAATATATATTCCATGTGCTCTTTTCATTTCTGAAATGATAAACTTAGGCTTTACTTCAGTAGCTATGTCCCTTAAGTTGCCAATCATATAATCTCTAATCACATTTGAAGTTGCTTGTCTTTGATGTGACTTTCTAATGTCAACCGAGCATTCATGTGTTCTCTGAAATTTAACTATTTTAAAAAGTGTGGATTCCTTAATTCTTGAACCTCGAACAGTCCAACCACACTTTTCATCAGTACATACCAAAGAGTATCTTGTGTTACTTGACCTATCAACATAGAACTCAAAGTGCTCCTTTATAGCTGCTAAGCAAAAATATCTAATCATAGCATTTTTGTCTTGAAAAACAGACCCCAGTTTTACATCATCCAATGATGCATTTTCCTTTAGTATTATTGATGGTGATTCTTTTGCCTTTCCTTTTGCTTTCCTTTTTCTTCCTTCAATAGTGTCTAGTGATTCAACGTGTTGATCTTCTACAGGAATTACAAATTCATTTTCCATTGTAATGTCATAAATTGGCATCTCTTGCTCTTCTGGTATATGGGATATCACCATAAGTTGCTCTTACGGAACATATGTGGTTCTGTGCAATAATTGTTGATTGTCAATCTCCATTATTGCAATACCTTCTGCTAGTTGATCTGGTATTTCTTATATTTCAACAACAAATTTGGAACATTTATAGTATGGATCGTTTTTCAAAAGCATCATACACGAGGTAAGATCTTCACCTTTTCTCACTTCTATTCCCTTGCCTGTACCTAGATTGATATTAAGCCATACTTTTGCTTCAAACTTGTTGTTGTCGAACTCCATAACTTGAACAATTTTACTCGTGAATTCTTCAAATGAAGTCCCATCATTTATAAGGAGAAGCTTCATTTTATGATCTAAGTACTTGTAATCTGTTGTCCATTTGCCATCGAAAGCGATAAGCAAAAAATTTGTATGCATCATATATTTAATGAACACAAATAATTTGATATTAGGAATTATACTGCTAATAATATAACTCCAGTATAATGTGCTGGAAGTATCTGAGTTTTTTATATTAATTAAGCAAATTCCAGGTTATTATACTGGTGTTATCTTTTGTAACATTTTATCCATTAGTTTTTCTGTTGTTTAATTAAAGTTCCCTCCCAGTATTATATGTTGCAGAGTTTGCATCTTTCACATACGTAATCATAAAATTTTAACATATTATTCAACACATTAGGGAAACCATAAAGTTTTAGAGGTGTTTCTTCTGGTTTGAGTCATAGATACTTTCAGTATAATCTACTGGAATTGTCTAAGTTTTACATATTCAATTAACAAACGTCCTATTTTATACTGGTGTTTTGTTCTATAAAAACGTCCAGTATAATAAGCTGGAAGAATCTGACTTTTTCATAGTAATTCAAAACTCTTCAGCATATTATACTGGCGTTTTCTTTTGTACTATATTATGCAGCAGACTTTATGGATTACACATATATAATCATAAAAGTCTATCATTCTGTTCTATAAAAGTTAGATGTGTTCTTATTTGAATCACAGATTCTTCCAGTAGAATAAGCTAGAAGAATTTGAGTTTTTTGTATTAATTCCAAACTCTCCAACATATTGTACTGGCGTTATCTTTTTTACCAAAGATACTTCCATTAAAATACATAGGATTTTTATCTGTTTTACATTTTAATACAAAAAGCTCCAGCGTATTATACTTGTGTTTTGTTCATTTTTGGAATCAACCACTGTAAAAATATTATATGGGATACTTCCAGCATAATAATCTGTAAGTTTGTGAGTTTTAAATATTAATTTACAAAGGTTCAGCAAATTATACTGGAGTTATGTTCTGCACGATTTTTATATTATGTTCTGTACGATTTATGTTATGCACGATATAAAATTTTAGTATTTTATTCACAATATAATCTACTGGTTTGAATTACAGATATTTCCAATATAATCTACTAGAAATTTCCAAGTTTTACATATTAAATTAAGAAAAATGCAGTATTTTATACTGGTGTTTTCTTGTATACCTTTTTTTTAATAATTTTTTATAGTAGTTTGAATGAAAGATACTTCGTGTATAATAATGTGCTGGAAGTATCTGAGTTTTTTATATTAATTAAGCAAATTCCAGATTATTATACTGGTGTTATCTTTTGTAACATTTTATCCATTATTTTTTCTGTTGTTTAATTAAAGCTCCCTCCCAGTATTATATGTTGCAGAGTTTGCATCTGTCACATATGTAATCATAAAATTTTAGCATATTATTCAACACATTAGGGAAACCATAAAGTTTTAGAGGTGTTTCTTCTGGTTTGAGTTACAGATATTTTCAGTATAATCTACTGGAATTGTCTATCTTTTACATATTAAATTAACAAACGTCCAGTATTTTATACTGGTGTTTTGTTCTATACCATTTTATTTACAAACGTCCAGTATAATAAGCTGGAAGAATTTGAGTTTTTCATATTAATTCAAAACTCTCCAGCATATTATACTGGCGTTATCTTTTGTACTATATTATGGTGCAGACTTTATAGATTACACATATATAAACCTTTTTTTTATAATTCTTTATAGTAGTTTGAATGAAAGATTGTCACGACCCCAGTTCGCCCTCCGTGAACTATCGTGACGGCACCTAGTCTCTACGACTAGGTAAGCCTAACAAATGCAGAAACAGACTAATCTTGCGGAATAAATAATCAAAAGTCGAATAACTGAAAGAAATAGTATTTAAATGTTGCTCGCATAAACACACAACTTTTCAAAATCTGATACACTATCCCAAAACCCGGAAACTCACGGATCAACAAGCTGAGAAAACACTACATAGCTCTAATCTCCGGAATGTCTAACAAGAACAAAAAGTACAAAAGGGCTAAATACTAAATACAGGAATAGAAAGAGACTCCTCGGTCTGCGAACGCGGCAGATATACCTCGAAGTCTCGCAGAATCGCCTCGCCTCAAGAATGGTAAGCCTGAGTAGAGGTACCTGGATATGCACATGAAAAACATGCGCAGGAAGGGCATGAGTACACCACAGCGGTACTCAGTAAGTGCCAAGTCTAACCTTTGTTGGGTAGTGACGAGGAAGGTCAGGGCCCTACTGAGATTAAATAAGATATAAGGTTTAACAGGGTGAAATAAACAGTGTAAATAAGTAACACAAGATATAAAGGACAACAACAACTATCACAGAGGCAGGTAAAACACAGAAAGAGATACAGCTCAGCTCCAAGATAACAACCGGGGATCTCCCAGGATACCGTCCTGTAGTCCCCAAATAGAAATATCATATCCAGTGGATCTCCCGGGTGCAGTCCCGTAGTCCAACTCATAAATGTGCAGGGGGATCTCCCAGAATGCAATTCCGTAGTCCCAAAGTAAACATACAGGGGAACTCTCGGGATACCGTCCCGTAGTCCCAAAGTAAAAGTGCAGGGGATCTCCCGAAATACCGTTCCGTAGTCCCAAAGTAAACATGCAGGGGAGCTCCCGGGATACCGTCCCGTAGTCCCAAAGTAATTACGCAGCAACAACACGAATTTAATTCAATCAATTTTATATCAAATGTGAAGCAGGTAATCCTAACCTAGCATGGTTCACGTAAAACAATTAAGGCAGTTAAGGCAAATAGAGCAATTTAGTCAAGTAGACATGCTTCTCTAGGCTACAGCAGGTTTAGTTTCCAAACAGTGTAAGCAAGAAAAGGAAGAACACAATTCAAGGCTATTTTTAATGAAAAATCGGATTTCCAACAATTTGCACAAGTACGCGCTCGTCACCTCATGTACGAGGCATTTCAATTACCACAATATCAATCCTAAGGGGAAAAGGTCCCCCACACAAGGTTAGACAAGCCACTTACCTCGAACAAGTGCAAGTCAACCCGAAACCACGCCTTTGCCACGAGTATCCGACTCCAAATGGTCTATAATTAAATTCTAAGCTAGTACGCGAAATTAGGTAAAATGACCAAAACGCCCCTCAGGCCTACGTCTCGGAATCGGATAAAATTTACATTTTCAGATACCTCGTACTCTCACGAGTCTAAACATAACAAGAACACTGAAATCGTAGTCCAAATGACCCCTAATATCCTCATTTAAAGGCCTCTTAAACTCAAGCCCTAACTACCCATTTTTTCCAAATTTCTTATCACTAATTAGGTCTTTAATCACATAAAAACGAGTTATGAAGTCAAGGAGGTTACCTCCAAGCGATTCCCCTTTGTTTTCTCAAAATCTCTCTCAAAAGCTTCAAACCCGGATGAAAATGGTGAAAGAATGGCTCAATTCCGCAAAGGCAACTATTTATGTGTTCTGCCCAGCGATTGCCGCCTTTGCGGCCCTAGGACCGCATCTGCGGTTACGCTTCTGCGGAACCTACGTCTCATATGCGACATTCATTAAATGACCAGAAACTGCATCTGCGGTTGGCCTTCCGCAGATGCGCCACCGCTTCTGCGGTATTTCTCCCGCATCTGCGGAACCTGAAGGAAAACCAAAAATCCGCTTCTGCGGTCTTCTTAGCCGTTCCTGCGGCGCCGCATTTGCGGTTCCCAAACCGCAGATGCGAAAATAACAGAAGCAGCAAAAATACAGCAGCTGCAACATCTTCAAACTTTCACGCCAACCATCTAAAATCATCCCGAGGCCCCCGAGACCTCAACCAAAGGCACCAACAAGTCTAATACCACTCCCCAAACTTGTACCAATCCTTAAAACACCTAAAACAACATCGAAACCTCAATTTAACCATGGATTCAAGCCTAAGAACTCCAAATTTCTCAAAATATGCTTTCAATCAAAGAGTCTATCAAACCTCATCCGCATGACCTGAAATTTTGCCCACACGTCCCAAATGACATAACCGAACTACAGCAACTCTCGGAATTCCATTTCGACCCTCGGATCAAAAACTACTATCGAACCAGAAACTTCAAAATTCGACCTTTCGGCATTTCAAGCCTAAATTAGCTACGGACCTCCAAAACACAATCCGACCACGCCCCTAAACCCGAAATCACCTAACGGAGCTAACGGAACCCTCGAATTTCCATTCCGAGGCCGTCTTCACACTGTTGTGACTACGGTCAACTTTCCAACACTTAATCTCTCATTTAGGGACTAAGTGTCCCAAAACTCTCTGAAACTCAAAACCGAACGTCCCGGCAAATCAAAATAGCAGAAATAAACTTGGGGGAAGCAGTTAATAGGGGATCGGGGCGTAAATTCTAAAAACGACCGGCCGGGTCGTTACATCCTCCCACACTTAAACATTCGTTCTTCCTCGAATGAGCACAAAGACATACCTGAAGTAGTGAAAAGATGAGGGTACTAACTGAGCATATCATGCTCGGTCTCCCAGGTCGCCTCCTCGACCGGCTGACCCCGCCACGAAACCTTTACAGATGCAATGTTCTTCGACCTCAGCTTCCTGACATGCCTGTCCAATATTGCCACTAGCTCCTCAACATAAGATAGATCCTTCTCCAAATGGACTGAGCTGAAATCCAACACGTGCGACGGATCGCCGTGA